GCGGGTCCGCCCTCCTGACGCGGCCAGGGTCCCGGGAGCAGGCGGACGGAAGCGGGCGCTGGGGTCGGTTGAATGCAGCGCGTTCCTCGGCGTCTGCACCGGTTCGCCTCGGAGGGCAGCAGTTCCGGCAGCTCATCCCGGACTCGGGACGGAGGTTGAAGGGATGCAGCTCTGCCCGTGAGCCCAGCTCCTTAACGCGGGATGCTTCGCTCGCAGCAGGCCGCCGGGCCCGTAGCCTTGTGAGCAGGTTGTTTGGGCCCTGCTGCCCTCGTTAGATCTGGATGCGGCAGAAGATCTGCGAGTCCTGAGCTAACTAAATGCTGTATTCGTGGTCTGCTTTTTAAAAAAGCGTTTTCTTTCTTTGGCTTTCTGCCTTCCGCGGAGAGGTCTTTAAATTACCGGCTCTCCGCTAATTTTGGAAGGAGAGCTTAAATGGAGAGAGAAGTGCAAAACGTTAGTCGTTGGCTGCCTCGAGTCAGATGTTTGATTTGGGGATAGCTGCAGCTGGGAGCCGAATGGAGCTCCGGTGCTGATCGCGCTGCCTTCTTTTTGTTAAATCGCAGCCGAGACCCTGATCTTCATCCTGAAGGTCAAGCATAAAATACCACAAAATCTTGAAAAGAGCCATCCGTGCCAAACGTTATGTTCTTGACGGTAGTACGGTACTTTTATGCTTAAGCAATTATTGCAGTTAGCAACGGTGGTTTTATTTGTTACGTGCTTATAACTAAAGGCAGCGCGGATGTACGACTGTTAATAAAGAAATATGTCGTAATCAGTTTTATGCCGTAATATAACATGAAAGGCCCTTAAGTGATAAACTCTGTAGATTTAAACTGACAGGTAAACGTTTATGGTAAAGCAAGATTACAGGAGTCCATAAAAAGAAGCACGTTTTAGTGCTTTTTTTAAACTTCAAGGGGTGCTATTTCAGCTGTAGTCCTGGTGGGCACCCTGGCCAGGAACTAGGGGCAGCTCGGAAAAACCTCAGAATTGTGATGTGGCTCTTCCAGGATGTGGGAGAACCAAAGGACCCTGGCCGATGGTTGGGTTAATCAACAGGTACAGAGCCATCAGCAGACCTTTCTGATGACAGGGTGCACCCCTGAGTTTCACTAGTTGCTGAAAGCTGTTTCCTGAGTTGGGATGCCTGAATCCTCCTGCCCCCGAAAATGATCCGTGCCAGAAACGTGACAGCCACGAAGCTGCTGTAGAGGACCAGAAGAGGCAAGCTCAGCGCTCGTGCTTCCTGTCCTGTTTTGCAGATGGTGGAGACCTTGTACAACAATGGCGCTAATTCCATTTGGGAGCATTCGTTGCTGGATCCGGCGTCAGTCATGAGCGGAAGGCGCAAGGCGAACCCTCAGGACAAAGTGCAGTAAGCGGAGGCAGGGTTGAACGTAGCCTGCTCCTATGGTGGCGGCAGCGGCGGCAGCACTTAATAGCCCACAGCAAGTGCAGCAGCAGATGCCAGTAGACGTTATCCCTTTCTCCTGCATTGTCAGAATGAGAGAACGTGTGGGCATAAAACACAGAAACTCTTCTTTATCCAAGGAGCTTTCTGGAAGAGGGAGGGGAGAGGAAAGGGCGCCCCTGAGTAGCTTCGATGATGTGAGCACGGGAGCAACGCTTCCAAATATTTGGCTGAGTGGGGGGGCTCTGAGGCCGAGCGCGATTGGGCTGTTTCTTTAAGCGAATGTGCTGTATTCAGCCTTCTGAGTCTTGTGCTCTCCTCAAAGTGTATATCTGGCCTCTTTGATGGAGTCTTTTAACTTTCCCGTTTCAGCGCTTGGCATGTTCAGCACTGAACGTCTAGCAGCCTCATAGTATCTTCACTGACAGTGAGAATAGCTAGCTTGATCTCTAACCCTCTAGGTCATTTTTCGGGACACGTAGCGTGCAAACTGATGCATTTTGCTGGAGTGTTGATGGTTTACCTGAAGAGAAAGTTCAGTCTCCACACAGTTAGAAACTCAGGTTGCAACCCTATAGGGTATAGTGTGGAAATAAACCTGCTGAGGATTAAGGGCATGGCCAGCGATGTACAGATTGTTCCTGGGTTGATCACAAGAAGTTGATCTTTTGCGTTTGTCTGCTTCTGCCTTCCCCATGTGCTGCCCCCTCCTCAGCGCTTTGGTCCTTGGCAGGGAAAACCCATCCCACCTTTCTGGAGTTCTCATGTTGCAACCTTTTCCTCTTTCATTTCCTGCAGCCCCAACAAAGCAGAATTCATTAGGGCAAAATATCAGATGCTGGCCTTCGTTCATCGCTTGCCGTGCCGGGATGATGACAGTGTGACCGCCAAAGACCTTAGCAAGGTAGGGCTCAACCTTGGGCGGGGGGTGAGGGGATCCAAGGGATCCCGCCCACCTGGATACCACCGTGCGCAGCTTCAGCCAGGCTGAATGGCAGCTGAGTTGGCCCACCAGCCCTCTCCCAAGACAGGCTAGGCAGCTGATATCGCTGGCCTTGACGACAGGCAAGAAGGCTTCTGACAATGGCCCTGAGGCCTCTCCTGCCTTTGCTTTCAGCAACTCCACTCCAGCGTCAGGACGGGCAACCTGGAGACCTGTTTGAGGCTTCTCTCTCTGGGAGCACAGGCCAATTTCTTCCACCCGGTGAGAGGAAATGAGTGTTCTTTCTGTAGTCCCAAACGGGTTTAGAGGGGAGGACTTGCAGCTGAGCGAGCATCTCTTGGCCCTTCTGTAGGAGAAAGGGAACACCCCGCTTCACGTCGCTGCCAAGACAGGGCAGATTTTGCAAGCCGAGTTGTTGGCCGTGTATGGCGCTGATCCTGGCACTCCAGACTCCTGTGGGAAGACACCCGTGGATTACGCTAGGTGAGCCCTTTCTTGCCAGTGGAGGGGCTGCTTTGGAGGCCAGAGGGCTTGTTCCACAAAGCCAGGTGTTGTGACTCTTCCGGGCATCAAGGATGAAGACCACCTCCCTTCTTCACCAAGTGCTGGGAACAGCGGAAGGGGTTCCAATTAAGGATGTAGGTGGATGGGACCCCCCCCTTTGTTCTTGCCTCAGAGCCCCACATCAGCGAATTCTGAATGCCTCTCTGACTCTTTTCTCTGTCTTTATCCAAGGAGCTTTCTGGAAGAGGGAGG